ATGGTTTGTTTGAACAATAACAATTTCATAGAGAGTATTTTATGTTTAATTTTGTACATTTTCGAGGGGTGATAGATAATATAGGGATGATTACATGCTATGACAAAATGTGTCACGTGGGTCACACTAGTGGAAATTCAGGTATTTTTTTATATATTTCCTTGTAGAATTAAGAACGTAACACTTATATAGTATTAAAATATGGATTATTATCTAAAATTTTATGTTATACTAATTCATATATCCTAAACAAAAAGTAGTTTAATAAAATTTTAAATGTAAGACACTAAAACTTTGTGTCATGTGCAGTAAAGGATACCCATGGGGATAGGGTTAATTACACTGAGGTGTCAAAATATGACAGAATATTGATTCTAAAATATTTTTGAGTTTAAATTATTTAAATACTTACAATTATCATAAAAAAGTGCCTTATAACTATACGTTACAAATTTATTATGAGCTGCTCAATTGGTTTATATTCCAATGATTTCAAAGTTTATATCCTTATTTCTTGTAATGTTGTTGATATGAAAATTAAGAGGTAAAGACAAATGTTTCAAATTTTGTAATTAGAATTAAATAGTTATAATTATATTTAAAAAAAATTATGAAGTCTACACCTAAATTCGTATTTTAGCACTTTTAATCAGATGCTATCACTTGGATTTTTGTATATTTATTTAAGACATCATCACTAAAATGTCTTTCTCATGAGTATTCAAACTTCCAAACAATGAAAAATCAATTTTGTAACAAGTATCTAATAGTTACATGTCTCCTAACCAATACTAACTTTGATAAAAACAAATCTCAAGTCTAGAGCATATATGTTGTTAGTGTCTGGAAATAACCAAGCCATGAAATTTTATCCTAGGTAATATTTAACTGATGTTCATATTGTTGTATTTGCTTAGAAATCATAAGTTTTTGGTTGAGCCACTCACTTCTGTAGCAGTCTTTCCTTATGCTCAGTAAAAAGACAAAAAACAATGGCAGCCAACAGAAAAATCCCATCAGCTTCTTAGCGAGCTCAAATGTGCTTGATGCCTGCATTGCCTCGAAGATTTTTGCGAACATTGCATTGTATTTAGTCTCCTTTGCTTAAAAACAAACACAATGCAATTTTTGTTATTGAAATAACATGTACAATAACAAAAGACAGTTGTAAACAGCCCACCATACAATAGTGTTGCAAATATGGTCTGATCCAAGGGATTGGGCTGACTGCACATTTTATATTTATTCATCACTATTTTTAGGAAAATCACTGTTGAATTGTTTCAATGGGAACTGCTAGTAAAGGCAGTATTTCATCAGGAAAGAACATCATACCCACCCATTATGTATCTTTGTGCTTAAAAACAAATAAGAAATAATGGGAATATTTTGAATACTTGGATAATCGGAATAAATGAAAACCCTAAATTTGATTATTTGATCCTTTTCATGACAGCTTATTTTATCTTAATTTAAATTTATTGATTATTGGAACAGTAAAAAATTGAATCATAATTTTGGTTCATAAATCGTTGGACTAACTGAAAATGGTAATAATTGGAAACACTAATCGATGTAATTGCTGCTCGTAGGTAATTGAGTAAATTGCTTAACTTTATATATGACCAAAAGGAGGTGCTAGGTAGATATGTGGGGGGGTTATAGAATTTGTCCAACTGACAAAAAATGCTAGAAACATTTACTTGTTCATCTAAAAAATACATTTGCCCCTCTCAATCCCACGAAATGCACAAAAAAAGTGGAATATAACTGAGGATTGTGCTTTTGTTTAATAGTGAATAAAAAAGGAAAATCTGGGATTCAAACATTGAGAAAGTGTGATAAAATGCACTGATGACCTAATTGTTTTTATGATTTGTGTAAATTTGTGTTAAAGGCATTATTTTGCAGATACACTATGAAAGTGCTGTATGCAGATAATGTGTTTTTTAAAAGTTAATAAAATAACAATACACAGATGTTTTAAAATGTTTATGATGCACTAAATGCCAAAACTGAAACATGCATTCCTTTTTGCTATATTTTGTCTGTTAAAACTGAAACATGCATTCCTTTTTGCTATATTTTTGTCTGTTAAAACTGAAACATGCATTCCTTTTTGCTATATTTTTGTCTGTTGGCAACTGTTAGATATTTTTATAGCATGAAATGGATTAACTGGATGTATGTGAGTAGTGGTAGTCTCATGTGAAGACCTTAGATACAAAATGCTGTACACCCTATTTTGCCATTTTAAAAAGATTATTTTTTCTGTAGCTTTAAAAAAAATTGCAACGAAATGAAACAGCATTGATTATTAAATATAATTATAAAAAACCTAAAAATTTAACATAGCTCTTTCCATACAGGTACCCTTTTCTGCACTTGTCAAGAGGTTTTACTGAGATTTAATTAAACTACTTTATTGTATCAGTATATGAATAAACTTGGATAAAAATGTAACTAATGTCACATGTTTTAAGGCTTTAATTTTATAAGGCAATATTAAAAACAAAATCCTCAATTCACCTAGATTGAGAATTGTGACATTTGCTCTCTAGGTCTTCCTTCTTCTCTAGTTTATTCACCATCCCTCCAAGAAGTAACATAATTTAACATAAATGATTCATTATAATATTGTTATTACTCGGGCAAAGCATAATCTGATAGCCTTCAATCTTATTTGGTGACAGAACCATAAATTATAAAACCCAACCCCTCTTGTCACATCCTCTTTTTCACAAATTGCCAGTTATTCTCTGACCCATCCAGGTGCAAACTGAACTGTTTTGTCTATACGTGCATGGCCTCTTAAACACTTTTGAGTAAATTACATGCATGTATAGACAAAAAAAAATAACATTAGTTAGTAGGTGTGTGTGTCATAGTATTCG